TACAGGAGAAGGTACAAGTACATCATACAGGAGAAGGTACAAGTACATCATACAGGAGAAGGTACAAGGAGCAGCCATCTTCAAGACAGGAGAAAGTGAGAGAGAAGCCACCTGCAAGACAGGAGACAGATCTAAGTACGAAGTACTAAATACAAAGTACCTAGTACAACGTACTAAATACAAAGTACTAAGTACAATGTACTAAATACAAAGGTTAATCACTGGTAATATTTGATGAATGACCATGAGGAATTATCGCGGATCATTAATCACTGATCTTCCACTGCTGATCATCAAGTATCAATCACTGATCTTCCACTGCTGATCATCAAGTATCAATCACTGATCATCAAGTATCAATTACTGATCATCAAGTATCAATCACTGATCATCAAGTATCAATCACTGATCACCAAGTATCAATCAGTAGCCATAACAAAAATGACAATACTAATGACAACAATGACAACAAACAATACCAACAACAACAACAACGACGACGACAACAACAACAACAACAACAACAACAACAACAACAACAACAACAACAACAACAACAGCAGCAGCAGCAGCAGCAACAACAACAACAACAACAACAACAACAACAACAGCAGCAGCAGCAGCGGCGCCACCTGTTGGAGACGATGCTGGGGAAGTAGCAGATGGCGTTCTCGTCGATGCGTGATTCGTTCTCGCCGATGAATCGCTGTTGCACGCGGTACGCCCTAATCGTGCTCGCTCCCTGAAGCGTCTCCGTGAAGTGTGTGTAGATGGGCGACCGACTTACTGACTCCAGCCGCTTCAGCTGCCTTGATGTGGCCACATAGAACCGCTGCAAAGAGGCGGGGGGCAGTCTAAGATTGCGCGGCGCGGCTAGGTGTTTGTACAGACGGCGACGGTCTAAGACAGGTGACGTACCTGTGGAGCTAGGGTACCTGTGGGGCTGGCATATTTGTACAGGTTACTTGTTAACTCTACACCTGGTTAGAGAGAGAGAGAGAGATAGGAAGTGAGAGGAGGGAGAGAGAGAGAGAGAGAGAGAGAGAAGAAGATGGTAAGAGCGCGCAGATATGCTGTGTACACGAGCCAGTCCACCTACCAACACAAGAGAGAGGGAGACAGATGAGAGAGAGAGAGAGAGAGAAAGATGTTAACTCTACATGTGGTTAGAGGGAGGGAGAGAGAAAGGGAGGGAGAGAGAAAGAGAGGGAAGGAAGATCTCAGACTAACACGTATCACCCACCTTTCCTGTCTGCATGGATTCCTCCTGGATGAGACGGTCGCGGTCGGTGTGTGACTGCGCGCGGTCGAGCGGACGCGCCTCCACCGTGTCCGAGCGCGACTTGAAGCGGCGCAGTATGCGCTCGCACTCGCTCGGACTTGTATGACCGCCGCCGTCCGACGACATGCGCGAGAGCGAGCGGTCGAACCCGGGAGCCACCTCCGCTAGAATGTCGTCTACGATCGCCGCGTCTGAAACAAGCGAGCATTTAATTATTTGTTTGAATGATAATAACATTAATAATAATAATGGTGATTATGATAATAATTGTAATGGCGTAAATGTTGTTATTGGCATTGTTATGAACGTTGTTAATAACACGACGCCCCGCAACGTTGCACGCCATTCTCACAAAAAAAAACAGAAGGGCGTCATTCGTAAAAAATAAATAACAACAAATAACCACAAACAAGAAAACGTGCAGTGGTCAAGTGTCGCTGCGCACCTTTCGAAACAAAAACAAAAAACAAAAAACCGCACGAAAATCGCAAAAACAAGAGAACGTGCGTGCGCGGCGCGCACCTTCGGACTCGCTGATGTTGTCCTCGTTCTGCGGGTCGGTGAGGTAGTTACGCAGGAACTCAGCGAATGCTCCGTTGTTGCTCAGCAGCTCGCGGTACGAGCCGATCTCAGACATGCGTCCGCCATTCATGACGACGATCTGGTCGACCTGAGGCAGGTAGCTGATGCCGTGCGTGACCAGGATGCGCGTCTGCAACGATGATACCGATGATGATGATGATGATGATGATGATGACAGCAACGATGATAATGATGATGATGATGATGACAGCAACGATGATAATGATGATGATGATGATGATGATCTGGTCGACCTGAGGCAGGTAGCTGATGCCGTGCGTGACTAGGATGCGCAGCTATATATATATACATATATTATACACAAATATATTGTGTCGTGAATAAAAATACATTTTTTTAGCTTGTTTCTTGTTTTTATTCACTCTTGATATATATTATACCTATGCCACATTATTAGTTATTTTTCTTTGTCTGCAAAAATTGTTTTCAGGGAAAGGCTTTTCAGGAAGTGTTGCCTTCGATTGAATCGGAAATTCCACGTTGGAACGATGTCAGAACTTGAACGGAACTACCCAATCTTTCGCCAAACGAACCTAACTAATGCTCGTCATGCATTCCTCTCTCACCTTCTTTGCGAGGATACCCTGCGGCCCGATCACTTGATCGAACATGTGCTTTCCGACGTGGGCGTCGACCGCGCTGAGGGGATCGTCGAATAGGTAGATGTCCGCGTCGTTGTAGACGGCTCGTGCCAGACTCACTCGCTGCTTCTGTCCACCGCTCAGGTTGATACCCTGTAGAGGGAGCGAGAGGGAGCGAGAGAGAGATAGATGTCAGTTGGTGCTGCTGTTGCTGCTGCTGCCAGTGGTGGTGGTGGTGCTGCTGTAGAGAGGAGAAAGGGAGAAAGAAAAAGAGCAAGACAGAGAGAGGGAGAGAGAGATAGCTATAGATATTACCATAATAATAACAACAACAAGATGCTAGACGCTCGCACGCTCTACGCCGGCTCGGTAAACTCGCCGCCACGCGTGTCAAAACCCTCCTGCAGGTGGCGCCACCTCACCTTCTCCTCGCCGGCGATGCTGCAGTTGAGTCCGTTGAGTACGAGGGGCAGACCCTCGCGGTAGCGCATGCCGTAGTCCTGGAACACCACCGCTCCCTCCGCGGGCCACTGCGACGGCGGTGTGGTCAGGCCGGGCTCGTCCCCCGACTCCCACGCTGCCTGCAATTCACAAACTCACTCACAGCACCACCACAGCTAACCAACTCGAAGGTGGGGAGGTCTGAGATCTGAGTAGTCGGTGGAACCCCACGGTGCCTGCGCGCGCGAGAGAGAGAGAGAGAGAGCAATTCACAAACTCACTCACAGCACCACAGCTAACCAACTTGCTCACTCTACAGGTGTTATTAACCTGTGGTCCTGGATGGGCTTCAGGAGGTCCGTGAACACCATTGCATGCAAAATTTTGTGTTTATGTGCTTATGTGCACTTTTCTAGGGAGGGGTCCATAGCTTTCACAAGATTCTCAAAGGGGTCCATGACTCAAACGCTCTATAGGCTGCTAAAGGTCTGTGTGCTCGTCAGACTCCCATCTTGATAACTCATTTCCGAATGAAATGTTTGCTTTGGTGCCCCTCTTAACTTACCGCAGTGCTCTTTATCCTAACCTCGTATCTCTTACATCTTAATCTGTAATCTCTTAGTCTCTTAATCGCTACATCTAAATATCTGATCAAACCCAAAAGGCAATGATTTCCTTGCAGTCTAAAATCATTCAAACCCGACCCTGCAACTGTCATTCCACTGAGAAAGGATTTTTGGCATTTTACGCCAGAATACCTCGCACGGCGTCTCAGAGTACTCCTTGATTCGCTCCACGGCGACGACGTTCGTCTCCAACTCGCTCGTCTGCCGCACCGTCCAGTTCAGCGTCTGCGTGATCTGAAGACGGCAAAATTCAGCGATCACAGCGCCATCTATCGAAGCAAAACGTCAACAAACGTAACGAGGGAAAAAACGTTGCCATAGCCGTGAAGAAAATTCCACAGAGGCGACGAGGGAGAATTTCGCGACTCGGCCGAGTAACAATGCGGAGGGGCGTGCGGTAGCAGCTGCAGTTCCCGGTCAAAGAGCGCAGCCGGGGGTCGGGGGGCTGGACGCGGGTACGAGGGCTTCACCTCACGGAAAAAAAAGTATTTCGCAAATTTTACGAATTTACGAAAAACGCATTTAACGGTTCTCGCAGTTTTACTTTCACCTCCATCAACGTTTCAATTTATTTTCCCTCCGATAGACCGCTGAAGGGCCGCAGCCGTGCCACGAAGAGTTATCCAAGGTAATAACTCTTCGCAAAGCATTTCTCGTAGCACTTCACCAAGGTCTCGTTTAACTTTCCCTCCGATAGATCGCTGAAGAGCCACACTACAAAGAAGTGGCGGGCGTCATGGAGCTAACTATAACAAGGAGAGGAAGCACCGCCATATCTGGCCCAAATTTGGGTTCGGCAGAGACCCTAGAACAGATTAGTGTTCTATTGTCTCTGGGTTCGGTCTGCACAGCCGTTTCAGCTGATTATGGTCCATAGATGGCGCCCTTGAGACAATCAACACACAGTCAATCCGCTTCCTCTCCTTGTTATATTTAGCTCCTTGGCAGGCGTAAGAACTCACGGAGAGCGCGTAGGAGATGGAGAGACCGACGAGGCCGGCCGATATCGACGCGTTTTCTCGGTAGATGACGGCGAACAACGCGGCGAAAAGAACGAGGAAGTTACCGACCAGCTCCAGTCGAATCGCCAGCCACCTGCAAGACACAGGAGAAGGTGAGAGAGAAGCCATGTGTAACACAGGAGAAGGTGAGAGAGGAGCCACGTGTAACACAGGAGAAGGTGAGAGAGGAGCCACGTGTAACACAGGAGAAGGTGAGAGAGGAGCCACGTGTAACACAGGAGAAGGTGAGAGAGGAGCCACGTGTAACACAGGAGAAGGTGAGAGAGGAGCCACGTGTA